ATAAAAGAGCACTGTCAAGTAACTGTATTTTGTCCTCTAGAGGGTCAGAGGAAGAGAAACAAGATAAGGAGGACAGAACAGAATTTGCAAACCTTGGGTGATCAATTGATCGCCAGTTGCAGAAATTTACAGAGCGTGGGGGGGAGGTGTTAGAAACAGGTAATTCCAGATTGAAAAGAATAGCTAAGTGGTCAGAGAGGCCTAGTTCAAGAGGAGAGCAGTGGGAGACAAAACAGTCATTTGCAATAATTAAATCTAAGGCGTGTCCTTTGTTATGTGTAGGGGTACAAACAAACAGAATAAGATCAAAGCATCCCAATAGAGAAAGGAAGTCTTTAGCCAGACTGGAAGACCTTGAATCTTTACCGTGAAAACCTTTTTTGGAGGCTCAAATGAGGATTTTAGATAAAGTCAAATTTGCATAATTCAAGTAACCTGGGTAGAGGGGGTACTTCACAATATAAGCCACATCATCCACATCCTATTTCTGAAATGGCGAGTTTGAGGTCTTGCTTAGTCAATTCTTTCTGGGGTAATCTCATCCGTATAATGAGGTATCTACCTTTCACCCAAAACAATTTAAAAGCATTTACTTATATAGGATATATCCAAAACTTCTACAGATGCATATACTGTATATATATATACTGTAGGTAGCTCCCCAAACTGGACACTATGACTAGTAGTGAGTCATGACTAATTTGCTAGTAGAATGTATATTCATAATGAGTAGACCTGACTGTGGTCTGTTACTTATGTGATATAATTATATACATTTTTCCCTCTATATTTTCAGGCATTCCAAGGAAACAGCAATGCGGATAGTGTGGTACATCATAAATTCCAATACACCATTAGGACACGATTCCTGCGTTTTGTTCCTTTACACTGGAACGCAAATGGACGAATTGGTATGAGGGTGGAAGTCTATGGCTGTGCATACAGTAAGTACTTAATATTTTATTTTTAACACCTTATTCAAACCTGCTATTAAAATTTTATTTGTTGGCTTGAATTTGTTTGCTTTTGTTATAATACTTGAAGAACAAGGACTTTCACAGTCATAGACTTTGAGATTGTTGTGTTGCAATTTAGGAAAATGTGTCACAATAAAAGTATGCTAATATTTTTTTCAGACCTGAAGTGTGCAAAAATAATTCAAGTCGGTATCAGATGTTTATATAGTAATTTTAACATGCAGAGAAACTGGTGGACCTAAAACTTTCAAAAGGAAGAGCACAGTTTCAGATCATCAAACAAATTGAAATATTAGACAAAGATAACACAAGTAAACACAAAATGCAGTTTTTAAATAAAGGTTTTTATTATTAAGGGAAAAAAAAATCCAAACCTACATGGCCCTGTATGAAAAAGTGATTGCCCCCCCTGCTAAAACATAAATCAACTGTGGTTTATCACATCTTTGGAAAGCTGAGTTCAATTTCTCTAGCCACACCCAGGGCTGATTACTGCCACACCTGTTCTCAATCAAGAAATCACTTAAATAGGACCTGCCTGACAAAGTGAAGTAGACCAAAAGATCCTCAAAAGCTAGACATCATGTTGCGATCCAAAGAAATTCAGGAACAAATGAGAAACAGAGTAATTGAGATTTATCAGTCTGGAAAAGGTTATAAAGCCATTTCTAAAGCTTTGGGACTCCAGCGAACCACAGTGAGAGCCATTATCCACAAATGGCAAAAACATGGAACAGTAGTGAACCTTCCCAGGCATGGACGGCCGACCAAAATTACCCCAAGAGCACAGCGACGAGTCATCCAAGAGGTCACAAAAAACCCCACAACAACATCCAAAGAACTGCAGGCTTTACTTGCCTCAGTTAAGGTCAGTGTTCATGACTCCACCATAAGAAAGAGACTGGGCAAAAATGGCCTGCATGGCAGAGTTCCAAGACGAAAACCACTGCTGAGCAAAAAGAACATGAAGGCTTGTCTAAGTTTTGCCAGAAAACATCTTGATGATCCCCAAGACTTTTGGGAAAATACTCTGTGGACTGATGAGACAAAAGTTGAACTTTTTGGAAGGTGTGTGTCCCATTACATCTGGCGTAAAAGTAACACAGCATTTCAGAAAAGGAACATCATACCAACAGTAAAATATGGTGGTGGTAGTGTGATGGTCTGGGGCTGTTTTGCTGCTTCAGGACCTGGAAGACTTGCTGTGGTAAATGAAACCATGAATTCTGCTGTCTACCAAAAAATCCTGAAGGAGAACGTCCGGCCATCTGTTCCTGACCTCAAGCTGAAGCACACTTGGGTTCTGCAGCAGGACAATGATCCAAAATACACCAGCAAGTCCACCTCTGAATGACTTAAGAAAAACAAAATCAAGACTTTGGAGTGGCATAGTTAAATTCCTGACCTGAATCCAATTGAGATGTTGTGGCATGACCTTAAAAAAGCGGTTAAAGCTCAAACACCCTCCAAGGGGCTGAATTACAACAATTCTGCAAAGGTGAGTGGGCCAAAATTCCTCCACAGCGCTGTAAAAGACTCATTGCCAGTTATTGCAAACGCTTGATTGCAGTTGTTGCTGCTAAGGGTGGCCCAACCAATTATTAGGTTTAGGGGCAATCACTTTTTCACAAAGGGCCATGTAGGTTTGGATTTTTTTTCCCTTAATAATAAAAACCTTCATTAAAAAACTGCATTTTGTGTTTACTTTTGTTATCTTTGTCTTATATTTCAATTTGTTTGATGATCTGAAACATTTCAGTGTGACAAACATGCAAAAGAATAAGAAATCAGGAAGGGGGCAAACACTTTTTTACACCACTGTAGATTTACTTTAGATCCTATTAAAAAAAATGGAGAAGGAAAGTTAATCCAAAATATAGTATTTTTGTGATTATTGACATTTGTAATTATTACTAAGTGTGCACATTAATAATGCATAATGGGTCCTCAGCATGATTAATGTATGCATTTTGAATGAGTTTGCCAAACTAATAAAGGCTCCACAAAAGCATTCTCATAAACTACAGAAATCATCCCCCCATCACTTACTATTGCTGAAATGACTACTATTGCTGAAAAGTCTTTATTCCAGGAAAAACCTGCAATGAAAAATCTCTGTAGATTTGTGAAAACATGTGTATTGAGTGTGAAAGAAATTGTTACCAAATTTGTGTATCCTGAAAAAAATATTTTGGGACAATAAACTGCTAGTAGTCTTATGTCTTTTGTCCGTCTAGTCTTATGTCTTAGTTTATCATTATAAAACATTCTCTACAAAAAAGCACAAATTCAGGGTTATGACATTTTGAATTTAAGAACCTCTCAAAGCTAGCACAAGCTTACAACAGCTAGAGCTAAGAAAATGATTCAGTAATTGTAGGCAACCCAAGATTTCACTAACATGCTTGGCAGATCTTAATAAAAACTCTGCATAAGGCAGTTCTCTGTAGCTGTCTAGCTCTTGACAGACCCTTATAAGACCCTTTTCATAACTGCAATAATAATAATCATCCAACAAATGTGCTGATACTAAGACCTGCCCAGTACTTCAGTCCTTTTCATGTATACTGTGTGTATACTTCATGTATTGTATAACAAGTGCAATAAAACTTAGATGTGCTTTATTGCTTATTTATTTCTAATCTCACATTGTAATTTTAAATCACACCAGTTGGCAAATAAAAGAGGAGGAAATGGTTGATACATAGTGGCTTTAAAAATGAATATATTTACACATTAAAAAGACAAATTTACACATTTGTGATAACTTCAATTGTGATTTCTGTTTAAGGGCATCTTTAAATTCCCTTACTATCTGGTGGTCCAATGCCTGGCATAACTATTTTAAATTCAATTATTGGAATGCTATGTGCATGGAGTTTGCATATTCTCTCTGTGTTTGTGTGGGTAGTTCCACAGTCCAAAGACATACAGTACTGATAGGTAAATTGGCTCCTTGGAAAATTGGCCCCTAGTGTGAGTGTCTCTGTGCCCAGTGGAGTACTAGAGTCCCATCCAGGGTGTACCCTACCTTGCACTTGTTGCTTGCTGGGATACGCTTCAGCTTCCCTACAACCCTGTACTGGATAAAGCAGTTAGAACATGTATGGGTGGATGTATAATTGTAAAAAAAAAGTTGCAGTTCAAATACAATATGGAAGACATTCTCTATAAAATTTCAGATGGGTAGCTGCGTCAGCATACGTAGGCTGCAACATAACAAGTAATAGGTTTATTTCATGCTGAAAAAAAGAAGAAAGAAAACACGTTTTGGCCGTGGAGCCCTGCAGCCTTCTTCTTCAATCACACCTGAAGAAGGCCCCACTTTTTTTCCGCATGGAATAAACCTATTACTTGTTCCTCTATAAAATTTGTTTAGTTAACAAATATAAATATTTTCAAACATTACTGAAGTCTGTATATGTGATACGATACCTTTTCAAATTTTGTTTTGCGGATTTGTTATTTACTACTTAGGTCAACTAACATAGTACATAGTCTTATACAACCTATATGTCTAATTATGTCTGTAACAAAACATACTGTATAATTCAATTTGAAAGGAACAAGTAAAGGTCTATTCCATGATGAAAAGAGAGGAACAGAAACACAACATTCCTGCTGTAGAGCCTTTGGGTGTGCACTTTTCAATATTTATGTATTTGCTTTGCATAAGATAGTCAGTCATAACAGTAGTCAGTAGGAAGTTTGACAGTCTAACCTTTATACATATTCTTACAGTCTGAGGTAGATAACAATCAAGTTATCAAGGAATCTAGATAAAGTATGTAACATATGGCAGTGTAAACAGTTTTCAGCTTCAAAGCAGAGGATGTTTGCTAGTAAAGTTAAACTTAATTAATCAATCAACAGTCCAGAATCACAGTATATAAGAAGGGGAAGCACACTATGTTAAAGGGGGGAAAAAAGGTCAGATAATAATAATAATAATAATAATAATAATAATAATAATAATAATAATAATAATAATAATAATAAGAATAAACTTTATTTTCTAGAGCGCCTTTAAAGGTGGCTTCTTAAAGCACTTTACAGAATGACAACAACAATAAATAAAAAGAATACACAAGATAAAACATAATTACAATATACAGAGAAGAAGAAATGAAAAACTGGTGAGAGGAGTGGCAAGCAAACACGCCAGCGTTCCCTCTTGGCTGGAACTGGAAAAACATGACAACAAGAAAGGGGGACAAGAGCAGATAGAACTTGAAGCTTGTGTCAGGCAAGGATCCCTAATTCATGATCATCTGAAAAAAGTATTTTGAATCTTGCTATTCTGTAGATTTTAGAGAACATGGAGTTCCTGATTGAAGAATCCCTCTGTTTAAAATTGCCTCTCCTGCTTAGTATGTGCTGTATGTAATAGTATGTAAAAGGGAAATAGCCTCACATTTATTTTGTGGCAGACCACACAAGAGAGTGATTTAATCATAGGTTGTATTTATTGTATGTCTTCCTTGATCTCTGTAGGCATTATTTAAGAGTCAAATACTTGGTAGCTCCATGGGGTTTTCTGGGTGGACTAAATATAGGACTGTGAAACGCCTTGTCTGTATATGTGTAAATAATCTAACTTGTGTGTTGTATGTTAATGTTATGTGTAGTGTTTGTCACTCTCATTGTTAGAACATATTTGTTAAATCAAGTGTGCCTGGATCACTCTTTTCACCTAAGCTGTGCCAGAGAACAAAAAATTAATGTGTCTCTAACTGTACTAGCTGTTCAGGTATATTCATAGCAGAAATCTTTACAAGTTGGGGATTACAAACATTAATTTTATTATTGATTAATCAATTTAGTTAATTCCTGATTTTCATTATTTTCATAAAACCCATTTGTAACAATATGTAGCTTGAAAGATGGGTTGAATCTTTAAACATCCTTTGAATTGCCCATTTATTTAAAAAGAATGCAACTCAATTTTAAGGAAACTTCTTTGATTAATTCTTCAGTTTTAAAACTTATTGACACAGTTATAAAGTATTATGACATGCTAGTTAAAACTTATTTTAAGAAAATTCAGCTTTTTGTAATGCTCCCTTTCTAAGACCAAAAGACAACTCTTGTGGTTACATTAAGATATTAAAAACATTGAATTTTCGCACATACACACATAAAATACTGGTATTAAAATGCAAAATATTCACTACGTCCCTCCGGACAGGCTGAGATAGCAAATTGTAGGTGCTGATATCCTTAATTAAAAGTACATGATCTATTAGAGTGCTATCAACTGTAAACTTCCTTATGTATACATTCACATGATTACCGAAAATAGAAAGTACTGTATCTTGGAAATAAAGGCAGCTGGAAAATTACTGTCAACAGCCCCAGTCAGCACAAAAGTAACACTAACAGATGAAGTCAGTTTGGTTTGCCTATGCTATTGTAGGGTGGACTGAGTGACTTGGGAACAAAAGCAGCACAAACACTACTTTTAATGGTACAAACCAGCACAAATGGAACACTAATAAATGGGATGGGTTTCATTCTTTGTGCTGTTTGTAGGAGAAGGCAACTTCAATGAGCTCCATTCACAGGAGACTCAAACTCTGTTTTATTTTTCTACTGTACATGTTTATTTGCTTTTAAATACTGTGTGATCTCTATGATTTTAAGGTCACTACAGTATGTGTGTAATGTATTTTTGTTACTTAAATTAGCATTAAGACAAAATATAGATTATTTTAATGTATATGCAAACCTGAAATAACACATCACATCCACAACAGGCATTCAAAATAAACTATTTTATATATCCACATATCCAACTAAATAATTTTGCTAAGCCTTCTTTTTATTTCTAATATAAACGTAATATTTAACATACTGTGATACATAAAATTAATAGAAATGTCAAAATCGCATATAACGAAATGTTATTTTTGGAAGAAGATTATCCGCAAGGAGTTGAGCATTGGCCAGGAATCAAACCCAAGTATTTCACATGTCAGCCAAGAATTTGTCCACTGAACAACCAGTGCCTCACACTGAAGTGGTTACTGTAGAGGACCATATGTCATTCTTTGAGTCATTCAAAACTATTGACCTCTTTTTTGTTTGTTTCTTTATGTATTTATTTGCTTTTACACATGATATGTTTTTAAAGCTAGTACAGTATGTATATTTTACAATCAAAACCTAAAATTAAAGTTTTCTAATTACTATTTATATACAGTTACTATTAATTAAGTATACTGTATTTAATAAATAAATATTATTTGTGATACTGTACAGGAAAGCACTAACGGGTAATACATATTTAATTTTTATTATTAAAATAAGATTTTAATAATATTTTTGAAGGATTCACTGCTTCACCTGGGCATTTTACAGAGTACAGTCTTGCATCAGATTGTTTGAAAAAAATGAAAAGGAATTGAGTGGTAACTTTTGGTGTACCGTGGTATGTTCTTTGCTGTATCCTGTACAGCACCCTGAGCATTCTGAGCTGCTGCATCTGTACCTTTTTCTCAGGGTGTGTATGTAATCATCCATGTCACAAAAACTAGAACTCTGATCTCTATGATCATGTAAGTAAACCCAAGCACTAAAGCCAGAAATACCTGTCCCATTGTTAACTATCTATCTGTAACACCTCTAAAAATTATTGTGCCCATGACTTCTTTCTAATGCTAGCTAAGAATGATATTCTGTATTTTCTTTGTACAGTGGGAGGTTCACAGTGATTTTTAATATACAAAGTTATCCCATGAATCCAAATTGTTGCATTAAAGTGGAACTCCTAATGAATTTCAGTAAAGCACAAACCTTTTTGCTTGCAGTTTTACGACTATTGCAAAATCACTGAAACAACATTATGCAAGGGACCCTCAATATGCAAACCTCACCAGGAAAAAAATAAGTAAAATGAATGGATGGCCTTTAAAGGAAAATAAAGATTGTAAGGTGTGTTAAAAAAATTCACATATACATTTATCCTCTTTTTATTATTATTAATTTTTGTAATTCCAATTTGGAATCATCAATTGTATGTCTTGGCTCGTAGGGAACCTACTCACACGGGTAGATTTAACTAATTCAGACAAGCTTCTCTGTACTATCCACCCACTAGCCATCCAAACATTCATGCTATAAGCATTACAGTGACTTAAAATAGGTTCAGGTTAATTGAAAGTAAGAAATGTCCTTAACAGACAACCCTGTAAGACAACAAAGGAACAAGTAATAGGTTTATTCCATGCTGAAAAAAAAGAAGAAAGAAAACACGTTTTGGCCCCTGTAAGATAGCAGATAGTCTTTGTAATTGTCAACCCACTGAGGCTAAGCATGTGTTAGCCTGGCCAGTACCAGGAGAGGAGACCTCCTGGGAAAGCTAAGGATGTTGCTGGAAGAGGTTTTAGTGGGACTAATAAGGAATGCTCACCCTGCAGTCTGTGTGTGTTCCAATGCTCCTTTTTTATACTTTTTTTATACGTGGTCATTAAAATCACTGGGTTTTTCTTAAAAAAAGTAGGGGTTTAGACCCAGTGTCTTGGCCAAATTTTCCCTTGGCCTTTACCAATCATGGCCTCTTAATAATGCCCATCTATGAAATGGCATCATAACTTCATTCTTATTTCAAATGATAGCTGATGTGTGGTGACCATACTGACACACTATAGTTGCCATTGCATCATCCAGGTAGGTGCCACACATTGGTAGTGATGGAAGGGAGTCTCCATTACCTGTTAAGCACTTTTGCTGGAGTGTCCAGAAAGTGCAATATAAGTGTAAGGAATTAATATAATCTTCACTTACTGTAAAATAACTGCATTCATGTCAGTATTAGATGGTTTTTAGCTGGTGCCATAGTTTGGAATCAAACCCAGAGCACAAGAGGCAATAGCTAATCTCCATGTCACTGTCACCTTACACTAGCAATGTTCCAACTATTCATATACTGTAGTGCCATAATAACCCATTAAATCATTAGGTTCAAGTTCTCGCATACAATTTCTCAATCTTTTAGCACTGAAGTATAAGCACTTAAGAATAATATGTTATTGATTTTAAGTAATTACGTTTACCCTGAGCTTTCTCTCAGGGTCTTGTTTTTTTCTGGTTAGTGACTTGACCCAGGATTGAACATGTGCCATTTGGGTCACAGAGTTCCACTTCCCCTGGAAAGGTATATCTTTACTAGTTGACCTATTCAGAAGCCCTGACACTTTGATCTCAAAAACAGCTGAACTGTAAGCAGCTAATCATTAGCAGATTTCTATTCACAGAAACTTTCTTGTAATATCCATTAATAGTGATTATTTGAAATAACAAATAGCTTTCTGACGTTTCATGCTTCAGAATGTAGCTTTGGCACTTGGTTACTTTAACTATAAAGTTTCAAAAAAGCATCTGAACCTCTTTGTAAAATGTACCTTCCAAATTGTATTTCTTACAAAAATGCAGGTACCACAAATTCAGTGCCTACTTTTCATCTTTTCATGTACATATCTCATACAGAGGTACTGTAAAGTGTCCCAAAGAAACATTCAGGTAGCTTTAATGAAGTCAGTGTCAAAGTATGGTAAACAACTTTTAACCATTTCCTACTTATTATTTTATATCTCTCTTTTTTAGAGTCAGATGTGGCAGACTTTGATGGCAGAAGTTCCCTCCTATATCGATTCAGTCAGAAATCCATGAGCACAGTGAAGGATGTCATCTCTTTGAAATTCAAAAGTCTTCATGGTGATGGGGTGTTGGTGCATGGAGAAGGGCAAAGGGGAGACTACATAACACTTGAGCTGCATAGGGGAAAACTTGCTCTTCATCTAAATCTGGGTAAAAACGCATGCATTCTCTATTTGAAGTGTGTATGTGAGTGCATAAAGAGATGTGTCTGGTGATAACAGCAAAGTAAAAAAATATATAGAACAGTTTGCGTGTGGCATGGGCTAACCTTATCATATGGACATGATGTATTTAAAGAAGCTGTAGATAAATTAATTTTGATTATATGAGTGAACAAATAAATACATGACAAGTGGGATTTGGTTGTAACTAGCCTCTAACCTGTGTTTCTCCTCCCTCTGCAGATGATGCCAAGCTGCATTCAAGTAGTGGCCACATGTCTGTTACTTTGGGTAGCCTGCTAGATGACCAGCACTGGCATTCTGTCCTGATTGAGCGCTTTAACAAGCAGGTTAACTTCACTGTTGACAAACACACCCAGCACTTCCGCACCAAGGGGGATAGTGACTCACTGGATGTTGATTATGAGGTGTGTTGCCCCATTATCCAGGATCACAGCTGGTTTACTCCCCTCATGTGTCTTCAGTAAGAGAACCTGCTGTGGAGCAGCAGATTGTGCACAGGGGGAGGCCAGTGGCAGCAGCAGGTGGATAAGCTATTAGTGGTTATTTAAAAGATTGACTCAGGATCAACTGTTAACTTTTCAGTCTTCATTTCTTGGAGAGGAAAGCTTAGAGCGTGAATCAGAGAAAAATCATTAATTGTAGTTCAGAGCCCAACATCAGCAGTAAAATATCTGTTTTTTAAAAATATAAATAAACATTTGTCTTTCTCAGACTTTATGTGATTCAAGATGCATTGTGAGAGAAAGGTTTGTAAACATTGTAGAAGCTGCAAAAGATTTTCAAAAACACAAAATTTAGGACTGGGCAAACACCTGGCTGACACTATAGCATTTAAAGTAAATACGTGCAGAGTAGTGCATGCATGTAGTAAATGCATGAACCTCATGAGATGGAAAAACCTTAAAGAAGATAGCTATGAAAAAGATTTAGGTAGTTACTGTATGTTGACACATCATTCTGCAGATAATGTTGGGAAGCAATAATATGTTGAATAAAATGTTATGATATAATTTCAAAAGTTTTCCATCCATCATCAGAAATCTACTTATCCTTGTAAGGGCCACAGCAAACAGATCTTACCTCAAAGACATACAGAACATGGCGGACTGAGATTACATCCACTGTGGTACTATGCACCTCAATGGAATGCTATTTCATATCAGAGCCTTTGAAATGGACAATTTAAAATATCAATCAAATCTAGTTTAATCAATCAATCTTCAGTAGGCAAAAAGAAACTAGGGTGTCCAGCATAAACAACGAGAGGAAGAAAACTCCACCCAGGCCATATAAGATCTGAATTCCCATCAAGGGATGTTATAAAACACATTAGTGAGGCTGCATTTAGAATAATGTGTATTGCTTTTGTCAGCAAATCCAAAAATATAACTGCTCTGGAATTTGTCTATATAGGAGAGACTACTGTAGATCTATTCCTGGATTTAATGGAATGTTCTACACAAACTAGTTACATGAATTCAATTATTTTATTGTTACAAGAATTGCAAGAGGACACGGTTAAACTATTTAGAATTTTTGTGGGTATTTACAAATTCAAATTTCTTCAAGAAACCAACTTATACTAGGGGAAAATAAAGGGAAATTTATGTTTTCACTGTAAGATGGAAAACAAGAGGCATTTCATTATACAAAGCACTGTATAATAAAACTTTTATAATAACTTTTCTCATGAGCTTATTACCATAGCATGTCTCTGGAAATGGTACCTAAGGCATGTCAAATATGATTTCAACATTGATAGTGATATCATATGTTTGTGTTATCTGGGTAGCCAATCTTGTAATTGTAAAGGCATTATGTAGGATTCAGTAGTTTAGTGAAACTCTAATAAGATGTAATAAAAAGTGTAATTTGTAATCTCCAAGAAAAAACCTCCTAAGAGAGAGTGTGAGCTTGCTTTATAACCCTAATTGAGTTTCTAAATGATCTTACACCTGAACAATGTCTGTATGTGGTCACCATTATAAGCATTGTTTTTTTAAACAAATTAAACTATTCTTTAACAGCACAGTTAGCTGTTTCCCAAATTGACCAGAGAAAATCACAAGAACAATAAAGAGCTAGCAGTGCATAAATATAACCATTCCCATAGCTGCCAGAATCCCATGTAGGTGCATAAAAAGGCAATAAATTTTGCCAAACTAGAAGCAAAAAAGGGGTCAGTCATTGTCTGTATGGACTCTGGTAATTTCCCAGAGGCATGTATGACTTTTATAAAGAGATTTACTTACAAATATACAATTGACCAAAATATATTCAATTAAAAATGTGAAATGAGTTTTAATGAGACAGAAGACCAACTGTAGATGTAAACTAAGATAAATATAATCTAATGTAAGTTGTACATGTGCATATCAAAAATAGCACTGTCACAACAGTTGGGATATTTATTTTTAAAACAATATTCTGCACATTTTCAATGTTATAATCATTAATAAATTATGCTGACAAAAAAGGGACCTTGCTTAGATATGCAGTTATTAAACAAGTGTAAAATGGGCAATGATGTAATGAATTAGATTGTTTTTGTTTAAGATAGTGTTTAATTTAGGGCAGCACAGTGGAGCAGTTGTTAGCATTGCTGCCTTGCAGCACTTGGATACTGGATTAAATTCTGGACCTTGGGTGCTATTTGTGTGATGTTTGTATGTCTTTCCTGTGTTTGCATAGTTGGTGTTCTGGTTTTCTCCTTTTTCTATAAAAAGACATACTGGTAGGTTAATAGGTTTCTGGGAAAACTGGTCTGGTGTGAGTGTGTGTACCTGTGCGTGCCCTGTGATGGACTGGCATTCCATCCAGGGTGTACAGATGCAGCCACAACCCCGTACCGCACGCATCTATGCACGAACCGCCGCGCCGTACCGCGTGATTATGTATGTGATTGGCTGGCCAAAATGATTGACAGGGGTACTCATGGTGCATTGGTCGGTAGTGAAAAGATTTAATCATTTAATCTGATTTAATCATTTAATCGCCAGCAGCCACATCACCCTGCAACTCACAGCTGGTAACCCACTGAAGCTAAACATGTGTGAGCCTGGTCAGTATCTGGATGGGAGACCTCTTGGGAAAAACTCAGGTTGCTGCTGGAAGAGGTGTTAGTGGGGCCAGCAGGGGGCGCTTATCCTGTGGTCTGTGTGGGTCCTAATGCCCCAGTATAGTGACAGGGACACTATACTGTAAACAGGCGCTGTCCTTCGGATGAGATGTAGAACTAAAGCCCTGACTCACCGTGGTCATTAAAAATCCCAGGGCGTTTCTCAAAAGGGTAGGGGTGTAACCCTGGCGTCCTGGCCAAATTTCCCATTGGTCCTTACCAATCATGGCCATAAAAAGAATAGGAGCACAACACATCTGAAGGTCAAAAAATGATATTAATTTAGGAACATAAACATATTATGTAAACTGTATATTGCTGGTATTGGTATTTTAAAGAATAAATACACACCAGTATTCCATTTCTCCCTAAACATTTTTAGCATCAAAGTCTTACATGTGGTTATTTTCGGAAACGTTTTTACCTGCTCCTTCTGACCATGTTACTGTACGTTTATATTGAAAGAAGTGATAGTTTTAAGCTTTTCTGCGAATACGCTAGATATCGGAGTAAACAAAAGCATACTTTTAGAATTAGATTAATAGGGAATATAATATGGAATCACATATCTAAAGAAATTAATAACGATATAATTATACAGATGTAGCCATTCAAAACAAGCAGGGTACACTGCAGTATAACGCTGCGGTATTTGTCATACCGCAAATTACCATATGCAAATTAGATAATGTTTCCATATGAAAGGATTCATATGAAAGGCAGTGGACTCACCGTCCTGAGGCGTATGTGTGTGGCAGATCTGTGATGTGGCTGAGTGTGAATTGTGGTAAGCCTCTGATTGGGGAAAAAAGACCTGCTGATCTGTTCTAAATACCAGAAAGAAAACAGAATATGATTTTTTCTATTCGAAACATGTATTTTAAACATTTAATTAAGAAGTAAAAACCTTACAGCATACAATTCATACATTTCTAAGCTGATCAGGAGGATCTGTGTTTGTGTTTTGTACTGTGTTTTGCACATAAAAAGTGGTTATTAACTATTGAAACCTGTTTTTATAGCTTTTAAAGTAGTGCAATGTCTAAGCAAGAACACATCATTATATCTTATATATGAAAAATATATAATATATTTTATATATGAAAAAGTGTGTGTGTGTGTCTCTCTGTACTCAGCTGTACTGAAAAATAAAGCATCGGTTTTCATTCAACGAGTGCCTGAGTCACTGTTTCCATCCTATATAATAATGCCACAATATTATAAATGCCCCAGTTAGGCTGGGCAATCGCATTTTTTAATTTTAAAAAAATGAGATGTAATGATGTGTTCCAGCTTAACTTAGAAATTGCATGACTTTAAAAGTGATAAAAACAGGTTTCGATAGTGAATTACTTTTTGTGCACGAAAAACAGGTGATTATTCTTCCTCATCATCAGATCTTTCTTGGAAAACTATCTTACCCACTGCAATCCGGGAACAGAAGGGTTAAAAAGAAAGTCAGACAGGCAGGGGGGAGGGTGAGTTGTGTACCTGTCCTGTATAAAGAGGTGCATTTACACCTGTGGAAAGTGTTCCAATTTTAATGCGATACGGAAGACATTATTAATAAAAAATGATCTTGTATGGTCTGTAAACTGAATATTAATAAAGGAGACACGTTGCGTATTGTCTCTTTTTACACTTGGAAAAACATTCCAATGTCAATACGACACTGAAGATATTATTAATAACCATTAAATCCGAAGGTAGAACTAAAGGGATCCACAAGGTACAGGTTCCTGCTACTGTAGCTATTCAGAGGGAAAGACGGTGACATCACAGTGCAGGTGAGCAGACACACCCTCTAAAGTCAGGCATATGTGTTAAATATATTTAGATCTTTGAATTAATATCGTTATTGATTTAT